CTGCCAAAAGAACCAATAGATCTGATTTGGAAGAAGGGCAGCCAGAGTGCTCCTTGGAGGCCAAGATGGCCAAACTTTGACTCTCATACTTCAGACATACTGTCAGGAGGGACCAGTCGCTGGAGAAGGATACCATGTGTGGTAAGGTGGAGGGTCAGAGAAAAAGAGGAAGACCCCCAGAGAGATGGATTGGCCAAGTGGCAGCATCAATGGACTCAAGCGTGGTAACAGTACTAAGGTTGGTGCAGGATCGGGCAGTGTTTCGTTCTGCTGTGCATAAGGTCGCTATGGGTTGGTACCAACCTGATGGCACCTAACAACAACAACCCAAGTCATGCTATTCCCAATCACCTCATATGCATATGAAATTTGGATAATGATTAAAGAAGACTGTAGACTCAATGCATTTGAGTTATAGTGTTAGAAAAGAATATTGAAAGTACCATGAATTGCCAGGGAAACAAGAGATATAACCAGAATGCTCCTTAAAAGCCAGGGTGGTGAAATTGTTTCTTTCATGCTTTATACATTTTATTGGGAAGGACTCAATCTCTGGAGAAGGACATCATTTTTGGTAAAGTGGAGGGTCAGCACAAAACAGAAAGACCCCCAGTGAAAAGGATTGACACAATAGCAGCAGCAATGGGCTCAAATGTGCAATTTGGGGGATGGCACAAGACCAGGCATTGTTCTGTACTATTGTGCATAGTGTTACTAGGAGTCAGACCAACTTGATGGTTCCTGACAATAACAACAAAACAATATGGTGATAATAATAATGATTTAATTTAACTGAATTGAACTTAATGAAAAATTAGAATTAGACAAGCTTTTAAATATATGTAAGAGATTAAATGAATAAAAGATTTGTGATGAGTACTATTAGAGTCAGTTTTCTTAATTTCTTATATTTTAAAAAAATCACAGTACAAATACATTCTATATGCAATGCTATTAAAATATATATATATATATATACTTATATACTATGTTGTTGTTGTTGTTGTTGTCATTAAATGCCATAGAGTTGGTTCCAACTCACATTGACCCTGTACAGAATTTCTAATGAATGAATGGTGGGTTTGACTTTATGGGAGGCAGTTCAGTGCTTATCCTACCGTGCTTTGAAATATTTGTCATAAAATGTTGGTTGCACTTTTATTGAAAAGAAAGGGAAATATGGAGGCTTACAAAGAAGGTTATGAGGATGATACTTGTCCAGCACAATTAAAGCAAATACATAAGATTTTTCATAAAATTGATGTACAATTATTTCGCTATTTGTTTGATTTTCACCATGAGCCATGAGAAAGGAAGGACAAAGCATTTGATATGAAACAAAAGGAAGTGCCATGTTACATCACAGGAGAGAGCAGACAGAAAATACAAGATTCGTAATTCCAAAGTAGAAAGTCTTATCATTTTGCAGTTATGCAACACATGAAATTAAAAGGCCCATACAGTCAAAGATTCCTGTTCCATGAAAAAATACTCAGAGAAAAACACAAGAGCAAACAGAGAGGACAGAAAATTTCTTGTTGGATGCAATGCTCTTGAGAAAACAGTGGAGCAACATCTTTAAAATACCCAAAGGAGGGTTTCTTAAAAAGAAAAAGTATCTTTCTAAAACAAATGTAAAATAAAAAAGATTTTTACATATATACAAAAACTGAAAGAATTAATCAACAGCAGACCTGTACTATAAAAAATTCTAAAATTTAAGGCATAAAGAAAATTTTACTAGATAGAAATATGGGCATACAAGAGGAATAAAGAACTAAATGGGCAAATATATAAGAATTATTAATACTTAAATCATTTTAAAAGATCATTGTTTATAAATAACTGTAATGTATCTAGAAGCAGAGAAATGAAAGTACATTATGGTATAATTCTTGTAATATATGTGAAGAAATATAATATCACTTGGATGGAGATTGTGATAAGTGAATGATATAAACTATACAATCCCTAAAGCAACCACTAAATTTTTTTTTAAGTTATAAAATGGTATCATAAAAAATAATCAATTCAAAAGCAGACTGAAAAATAGAAAAAGGAAAACAATGAACAATGGGACAAATACAAAAAGAATTACAAAATAATATACTTAAACTTACTTATGCCAATAATCATATTAATGTAAATGGTATAAAACACTTTGCTTAAAAGGCAGGAACATTGAATTAAAAAAGCAATAATTAACTAGATGCTGGCTTTAAGATAAACACTGAGTACATAGGGACATATATTGGTTAAAAATAAAAGGATGAGAAAAAAATCATGCTAGTACTAACTGATACGTTAATATTGGACAAATGATGTTTCAGATAAATGATATTATGAGGGAAAAACAAGTTCATTTCATAGTGATAAAGTGGTTAACTGATTGAAAAGCCATAACAATTGTAAACATCTATGAACCTAATAATAGAGATTCAAAGTGCCCAAAGTAAACTTGATAGAATTGTAACAATAAGTTGACAAATTCACAACTGTAGTTGATGATTTCAATGCCTTTCTTGATATAATTGATAGATCAAGTATACAGAAAATCAGTAAGGATATAGAAGACTTGACCAACACTACCAACCAAAGTCACCAATAAAGTTAACTAAAAGAGATATTAAAAGAAGTATTTCAGGCAGAAATAAAATGATACCAGAAAGTAGTATAAATACACAAAAAGAAATGAAGAACACTGAAGTATCTTGATACCAAGACCTAAAGAGGCACAACAAGAAAAAAAAGGTACCAAACAATGTCCCTTATGAACATAATGAAAAATTAGCAACATTTTAGCAAGTGAAATCTGACAATAATGACCAGTTGGGGTTTGCCCTGGAAATGCACGGCTGGTTCAACATTCAAAATTTACAACGTCAATAGACTAAATGAAAATGAAAATATAAAACCATCTCAATCAATGTAGATAAAAGTATCTGATAAACACTATTGCTCTCAGCAAATTAGAAATAGTAGGCTCTTCTTCCATCTGATTAAGAACATCTGTGGAAAATCCACAGCTGATATTATACTTAGACCTCTCTAATTCTATTCAGGAGACCCAAATTTGGTTCCCAGCCAATGAGTATCATGCACAGTCACCACATGCCTGCCAAAGGAGGTTTGAGGGTTGCTGTGATGCCAAACAGGTTTCAGTGGAGGTTCCAAACTAAGATGTACTAGGAAGTCTGGTGATCTACTTCTGAAAATCAGCCAGTGAAAACTTTATGAATCATGGTGGTCTGATTTGCAAATAATCATGAAGATTGCACAGAATCAGGCAGTCTTTTGGGTATTTATATGGCGTCTACATGAATCAAGAGTTGATTCAATGGCAGCTAATAACAATAATATCAAACTTGATAGTGAAAGACCAATTACTTTCCCCTTAATAATCAGGAACAAGCCAAGGATGTTTGCTCTCACAACTTCTATGCATCACTTTATAGAAGATTCTAGTCAATACAATAAGACTACAGATTGGAAAAGGAGTGAAACAGTCTTTATTCACAGATTACGTGATTATCTATGTAGAAAGTTTAATGGAATTTACAAAATAGCTACCAGAACAAACAATGAGTTTAGCAAGATTGTAAGATATAAGATCAATATACAAAAATCAATTGTATATATACCAGCAATAGGAGTCCCGGTATGGCACTATAGGATAAGCACTCGACCTCAAGGTTGGATTGAATTGCAAGTTCACTGGGTCAAACTCACCAGATCCTCCTTGGAAACCCTAGACAGGGTCACTATGAGTCGGAACCGATGCAATGACACACAACAGCAACAGTAACATACCAGCAATAATCAATACACACTAAAATTTTAATTTCATTCTCAATTTTATCCAAATCTCAATGTATTTGACTGGCATTCTTCAGTTATGATTCGCTATTATTTATTGTTTATCATTATATGTTACAATATATATAGAAGGGTGATTTTTTTTCTCTATTTTCCATCCTTTTTGAAGTTTTCCGTAGGCTTTGGCATAAAGATGGAACAATAAACATTTAACTTTCTTACTTTTAAATAGAAACAACACTCTACTACCTATTTTAAATCTCTGACTAAACACTTGAGATTACATCTTCATTGAGAAGTATATTTTACCTTTTGTCACTATTGCCTACAGAATAGCAGTGAGTAGAACTGAGAACTTAGTAGTTGGAAGGGAGTAACAGGACGTTATAGGTTACACACACTCAACTCTAACTTATTATTACAGTAGCAAGAGTTACAACACCAGAGAGAAGACATAAACACCCACCTGATTTCCTTTGAGTTCTAAAGTGGTACCACAGGGCAGCAATAGCAGCAAGGCCAAGGATGCTGAGCAGCCCCCCGGTGACTCTTGTAGCAATAAGGCCCGCTCTGTAGCTGGAAGGTCCTAAGTTGGGGAGACCTGCACTTGAGTTCCAGTGGCAATGGTTTTAAAGTTAGATAAAACTATAAAGATAGTGGCTTGAGGTCTATCAGGGATAGTTTTTACCAGGTCCTGATTTATTCATAATGATCTCTAGTATAATTTATCAATTTCAAAATAATGACACATGAAGGGTGATCACCAACATCTGGTATTAAGATTTACCCCCTTTATCTCTTCCTTATGAAGTCAGTACCAGTCTCCAGAAGTCCAAGCTTAATGTACATGTTTAAAACTCCTGGACATGACAGAATGTAAACAATCTATTGGAAAAACATTTTATTGACCAAAACTGTGATATTAAACCAAGCTACCACTAACCCACCTATGACATTGAGTGCCACCACCTCACTGTGTTGAGCCTCCAAGCCATTGCTCGCCTCACAAGAGTAGTTCCCAGAATGCTCTGTGGTCACAGAGAAATTGAAAGATGCTCCTCCAGAGGGAACTGAGCTTCTCCCCAGGATGATATCCTTGTGATAGAACTGGTACAAGATCGGGGGAGAACCTTTCTTAGCCTCACAGAGAAACTCCACCATGTCCCCCACCACAGTCTGGGCCCTGGAATCCCTGAGAGTGAGGACAGGGCGAGATACTGGAACTAAAGAAGAAAAGACAGTTGATTAGCATATTTACCTAAATTTGGATACAAAAGAATTTAATAAAGAAAATAGTCAATATAGTTTAGTAGTATAAATATGAATCTGGAATTAAGGAAAATCTGTGCTTAAATCTTGTCTCTGCCTTTCATTAATCCTGTGATCTTGATCTAAAAAAATAATCTGAGTCTGTTTATGCCTATGTAAATTAGAAATAATAAGAAATTATATCTCAAACTATTATGATAAATAATAAACATGTATGCGAAGTCCTGGTGTGGCGCTGTGGGTTAATGCACCAGACTGCAAAGCCCTTTGAACCACAGACTGCAAGGTCGGCGGTTCAAGCTCACCAGCTGCTCCCTGGAAACCCTATACAGGGTCGCTATGGGTCGGAATCGACTCGATGGCACTTAACAACAACAACAAAGTGCTTGAAAATGTTAACTATTAAATATTGATAGAAATAATAGGTTCATTTCTGAACATCCTATCTGGAGCCCTAGTTCTGAGACTCAAACTCCCATATCTATCTAGAGCAGTACTTCATCACTTCCTATCCAATTACTTTCTTTCTTCTTCAGCATAGCATTTAGCACTACCTAACATATATCCCTTGAAGTCCTGGTGTGGCGTTGTGGGTTCGACAGCACTTAACAACAACATAGATCCCTAAAGAGCTCTGGTAGCGTAGTGGTTACGAATCGGGATGCTAACCTCAAGATCGGCAGTTTGAAACTACCAGTCATTCTGCAGGAGAAAAATAAGGCTTTCTACTCCTGTAAAGATTTACAGCCTTGGAAACCCTGTACAGGGTCACTATGGATCGGAACCGACTCCACCGTACTTAACAACAAGACCGTATATCCCTGGTGTGGCACTGTGGGTTGATGCACTGGACTGAAAAGTCAGTTTGGACCTCAAGGTCAGCGGTTCAAGCTCACCAGCCACTCCTTGGAAGCCCTACCCGCTATGAGTTGGGACCAACTTGACAGCATTTAACAACCACAAAACATATATCCCTGGGTGAGGCAAATTATCAACAAGTTCCACTACTAATTGAAAGGTAAGAGATTTGAGTTGACCTAGAGATGCCTTCAAAAGGAAAACCTAAGAATCTACTTCTGAGGAAAAAAACAAAACATTAGCCATTGACCACATGGTCAGCAGTTCGAAACTACCAGCTGTTCCGCTGAAGAAAGATGAGGCATTCTGCTCCCATAAATATTTACAGCCTTGGAAACCCTGTACATGGTCGCTATGAGTCAGAACCGACTCAATGGCACACAGCCACCACCAGCCACCACCACCATACACCCTTACAATATAAAACTACTTGAGCCAGATGAGGTCTTCAGGGTTATGCCTTTACATGGTACTTTGCATATCTCAGAGTGTCTTTCCACCCACATCATGATCTCCTTTTTCTCTGGGCTTTTGTATGCTGGGAGCATTGATTCTCAGTTTTCCATTGTATGTCTCTCTCCAGGCATCACAGAACCTCTGGGTTCATTTGCACATTACCATAAAGTCAGAAAATTCTTGGGCTAAAAAGAACATAGTTGTCATCAAGTTCAGTGGTTTCCTACGTAGAGTATGCAAAGAAAATTAGAAAAATCTTAAAAAAAAAAACAAAAACCTTCGTTTCTTACTTGAAAGGTAAATAAACAAATGTTGTTTTTGGTAAGTGCCATGGAATCAGCTTCAACTCATAGCCACACTGTATAGGGTTTCAGAGGAGCAGCTGGTGGGTTTGAACAGCCAGCCTTGTGGTAGTAGTCTAACACTTATCCTACAGCACCACAACAGGACTCCAAATAAATAAATAGGTTTTACTAGTGTTGGTGCGCATACTCAGGCCATTTGCGAGGTCACCTTGTACCATGCAGAGTAAAGGCAGACGTGTAGGGACTGGCAGCAGTGATTCACTTATTTGTTCATTCAGCAAATTAGAGCACATTGGTTGCTAGTTGCCAATGAGTTGGCGCCATGTCATGATGACCTTATGTATAAGAAAAACGTTACCTAATCCAACACCATCTTTATGATTGTTTGTAAAATTGAGTCCAGTCAGACAATATTTTGTTCTGATCCATAGTTTCCAATAATTAATTTTTGGAAGTACATTGCTAGGTCTTTCTTCCTAGTTTGCCTTGGTCTGGAAGCTCTGCTGAAACCTGTCCACTATAGGTGACCTTGATGGTGTAGCTTAAAATTGAAATTCCAGTGGTGTAGCAACACACAAGTCACCACAGTATGATAAGCTGAGAGATGTGTGGTGACTTAGTTGGTTACTTGATTGTTTTTACAGATGATTTTAACTTAAGTAATAAGAAAATTGGCAATGCTTTGTAATGAGATTGAGGAATGACTGAAAAATCTTTTTGTACCTCACAAAAGTTTAATTATCTTATGGCGATGTTCTAAAAAAGCAATTAAATGAAAGTAAAGCCAGGTGTTTTCTATGAATAAAGACTAGTATTTCATTTTTGATGTTTGTTGCCATGGTGACAATCAGTAATATAATACTTTTAAAAAGTAACCTTTAACCAATACTCATATGGACTGTGAACCACAAGGTAGGCGGTTTGAGCCCACCAACTACTCTGCAGGAGAAAGAGAAGCTTTCTGCTCCTAAAAAGATGTACAGCCTCAGAAACCTTTTATAAGCATCGCTATGCATTGGAATCAACTTGATGGCAAACAACAAGAACAAGGAAAATAGTTGTTTAAAGTATTTACATTTCTATGTGGTTTTATTATCAGAAAATGACAATATTTTGACTTATAAAATTTGTATCTGCACACTTAAAAATACATGGAAACAGAACATTGAAATCAGTTTATAATTTTTCCAGAACATGAGCACATTTGTTATAAACTCAGACATAGCACCTGTCATTTATTTTACAAGGACAATTGATTAGTATCAATGAAGATGGAAATTAACTAGCAGATATCAATGCAAGTAATGGCATAATTAGCCCATGGGACTGAAATAAATTAGCTGTATATATTTGAAAGAGCAGCCAGTGATTTTCTGCTTCCACTTGGATCGATCTGGAAATCTCATGAAGATGTCTTTTTGTTTTTGTTTTTTAAATTACAATCATTAAAACCAGTTGGAATCAGCCAAATTCAGACCCAGACCTCAAACAACTGACACAAAGAGTAAATTAAGAATTTCAAAATACATAAAGCATATTCAGTTACTATTTTAGTCAGAGATTCAAAGAATATTTTAATTATTATTTATTTTGTTCTTAATTTATTATCTGTGTTTATTTTACAATACGAATATTAGATTCACTCCTTAGTACAGTACAGTGTTGTTGTTGTTAAGTGCTGTCGAGTTGGCTCCTAGTCAGTAACTCTGTATAGGGTTTCTGCGGAGCAGCTGGTGAGTTTGAACTGGATACCTGTTGTTCTCAGGCCAGTGCTGATCCTACAGTGCCACACCAGGAGTACATGTTTATAATTTATAGGTAAATACATATTGAGGATGAAAATTCAACATTTTTACTCAAAGAGGTGTTGGATCAAAATTATTTCAGTCTCATTGATCTACTTGGTTCAATTATTTTATACATGAGGAAATCACACGCAAAATTAGTAAGGAGACTTATTCAAGATCATAGAACTAGATTACTTCATGGTCAATGTTGGCATTCTGATTTCAGGATGCTGTTTGGAATGCCCATTTTCCATTATCTGCATGATTCATTGTCAAAATTTGGTCATAGGAAGCTCCATTTTAAGCAAGAAGTTATAAGTATCCTAAGGAGCTCTGGTAGCGTAGTGGTTACGAATCGGACTGCGAACCTTAAGGTCAGCGGTTCAAAACTATCAGCCGCTCTGCAGGAGAAAGATGAGGCTTTCTACTCCCGTAAAGATTTACACCCTCAGAAACCCTGTACAGGGTCGCTATGGGTCGGAACCGACTCGACGGCACTTAA